GGGGGGTGTGTGATCATGGCCTTTCGTTGGCCAATTCTGTCTGTGTGCAGATGGAACCTTTTTCTCCTGATGGCCGTCTCCTTTTCTCGACGGAGTCTTCAGCAGGTGAATGGAGTATTCAATGAATCAGGTGTTCAGAATACTCCGAATTTTGCCTTTGCTGCTCCACAGACAGCCTCTTCCCTTCCTAGAAAAATAGCAGAAAAGCAAACCTGGTGAGAGAAAACAAACGAGGGAAGTTGAGCACATTCTTTCTGTAGCGCCGCCGTCGACGACAAAGCGAGACCGCCGAAGTCCCCATCGCCCCTTTCTCTCAAGATAGAAGGAAGAAGCGCCAAAACTCCCGCTCGCTCCTCAGCTCTCTCTCGATCCACGCTCATGGCTGCATCGCCCGCCCACCTCATGGCCCTCTACGCTTCAAACAAATGGTAACGAAACCCGGCCCCGACTTGTGGACGCGGATCGACGCCACGGCAACAAGCACCCAAACACCGACGGCCCTCTCCTTTTCTCCTTTATGAAAACCATCAAACTAACAAACTCCTCCGTTCCTCCACAGACGCATCGCATCGCATAATTATCAAATAGAGAATGGAATACCAAAGACAGCATACGTGTATGTATATGTATGTGTAGCTAGCTAGCTCTTGTCAGTTTGTTGTTTGTGAGGCTTTGCTTTGCCCTTTGTTGCTTGCGGACGTAGACAGACAGACAGACAGACACACAGACAGGCGGGCTGTCTTCCTTCCCTGCTTCCTTGATAGCTTGGTTGGTTGGTCTGTATTAGGACAACAGCTGACTTACCTACCTTGGCGCAGGTACGTACGCAAAGACAGACAGACAGACAGAAGAGAGAGGGAGGGTGACGTCTTCGACTGTGTTCCTCACATTACTTCCACATTCTCTTTGTCTGTGTGTCTGTCTGTCTCTCTTGTCTCTCTGTCTGGCCTGCTCGTAGATGCAGGCAGGCCGGCCGCTATGGGTGGACCAGCTGGAGAGGAGACAACCTGATCAGCCACGGCCCACCCTGCTGCACGTGGGCACCACACAGGAGACACGAGAGGCGGGCGCTGAGTAAGTGTGTCGGTTGGCCTGTCTGTATGTGGGCGGTGCAGCTGGTTTGACGAGGTCACTTGTTTGTTTGTGTGTACACATGTGTGGACAGATACTGCTCAACCACTACCCTGGTCGCTTCGTTGAGTATCTCGACCACCACTTTGACGAGCTATGGACTCATATTATTATGCGCTACTACGCCGAGGCCCTCCACAGGTACGATCAGCCAGCAGTGAGCGACACACGAATGCTGCACGTGCAACACACAATCTCTGCGGGCGTGTATATTCGTGTCGACAGGTCATCCCATGTGGGAGGCAATGTGTACATTGCGCCCGTGTCGATCGTATGCCATTTCCTCTTCGATGGCCTGGACGGTCTGGCGGCCATGGAAGACGCGTGAGCAAGAAACGAGAGCAGAGAGGACACCATCTCATCTGGTGCAGGAAAAATAGTTAAAACACGCGCGCAGGAGGCCCCCAGAACGCCCATCCCTTCCAAGATAGAGATCGTGACGAAGGCGCCACCGAAGAAGGCCAAACCCAAACCGAAGGCCAAGGCCAAGGCAAAGGGTGCGGACGGCTGCACAGCACGCGCACATGCAGTACATACTGTGCACAGACAGACAGACGCACGTAGATCTCTTGGTATCGCTGCATGCCGCGGCGAAGCGATGACTGACGCCTCCGCCTGTGTCTCTGTGCGTGTGGTGTGTCTGTGTGCAGCCCCTCCTATCCAGCCCCTCCCCCTTCCCCGCCTGCACACCTTCGAATTTCTGGTGAGCAGCAGAATGACGTGCTGGTGTGACGAGCTGAGATCTCTGCCTTTTCGTGGCTCCTCCATTGTTTCTCGCAGCCCCAGAGTCGCGTCCGCATCATTCAGCACTGCCCGGTAGGACCTGACACGCAACAGGACGCATCGGTATATGTGTGTTTGTGTGTTTGTGTGTCTATGTGTGTGTGAATGTGTGTGTGTGTATATGTTGGCGACGCGCGTCCCTCCCTTCGTGTCGCCCAACCAAAAAGAACGGGGAAACGGTGAGTGGGATCGATGTGAGGGAGGGAGGACGGGTTTTCAAGGTCACGCCCTTTCTTTGCGTTTTTTGCAGACGACGACTACGGTGGATATTGGCTCGATTCTGGACGTGATTGGGGGGAACCAGCAGATGCAGGTACGGAGGGGGGATGGGTCCAGGGGGCTTCTCTTACTGTTTCGTTCCCGTTTTCCTGTGTGACTGGCTTGTCAGGAAGCCTTCATGGCCTGCTTGCTTCAGAGTTCGACCAACTCAAACAGCTACTCCAACAGCAACATCAACAACAACACCACAAACAACAGCCAGGTAGGATGCGACCACTCCCCCTTCCCCACCCACCCACACAAACATACTGTGACGGTGCTCTGGGTGCTCTGTGGTTGTGTGGTGTCAGGTACGTGTAATACACTTCATCCGACACACATCGCGCCACGACGAGAACCAAAACACCAGACACCATCACCCACCCACCCAACGACACACAGAGGGACGTGTGTGGACGTTCAGGCCGGTGGGGGCGGTGCGGGCGCCGGGGTAGCTAGCAGTGGTGTTGAAGGTGTTGCTGTCGGGTCTGTGAGTGAGCGTGACGGTGCTTGTGGTGGCGTGACGGTACGCACAGGCGGCCAACCCACCACACACACAGGCACATGTGTGAATGGCAAGATGGCTGTGCCTGTCCTTCTGTGTGCAGGTGGTTGGGTCGCAGGATGCACACTCGTCAGCAGCAGCAATAGTTCATCAAACACCAGGTGCGACACACCTCATGACCGTGCTTGGCGCAACGGCAAACAAGATGCGTCTCAACAGACAGATGTCTGTGCGTGTGTTGTGTTGCCTTGGACGAAAGGTTGTTGCATCGTGTCGTGATCATGGCCACGGTCGCTCGTGGAGGTGGAGGTGGTGCTGGTGGAAGGAAGGGAGGTGGTGGCGGCAAGAGGCCGCCGAAAGGTCCTGGAGGTGGCCCGCCGACGGACGGCGGCTCGGGGTCCAAGCCCGGTGTCAAGTGGGCGCCAGTTCGTCCAGATTTGTTGGTCGAATTGAGCCGGTAAAGTGCACGAATGGCCGATGGATGGCGGAGGAGATGAGATCTGTGGCTTCCTCTCTCTTTCTGCCTGCAGGCCCCGGTGCAGGGCCCTCCCCCGGCTAGGAAGATCAAAGTGAGTAACGTGGCGCGGCAAAGTAACATACACGCACGCCACCTCAACAGCACCCAACCATTTGCTGGATGGATGGATGGATGGTTCCGTTGTGTGATCCTTATGTATTTTGGCGGGGTCTCCCTACCATATACCCACACAGAACGGCAACTTGGTGAATGGGATGGATGGACGGAAGGAATGAGCTCACGCACCACACCCCTTTTTCTCTCCGTGCAATGCAGCGGACTGAGTTGATTGAGTTTTCGGATCTGCCCCGAGTGCTGGCGCAGATAGAGGTGCGCGGGGGGAGACAACACAACACAACACAACACAACACATGGAGGGGGGGGAGGGGCAGACGTGACAGAACGGCCTTTCTCACTCACATCTAGTGGTCTCTTCTCTTGTTTGTCAGTCAAAGTTTGGCGAGTGGTGCCTCGGCGACGACGCGGTACACACACATACACACACACACACATATACACATCTGGAGGACGGTGCTCTCTCTCTCTCTGTCTTTTGTGTGTGTCAGGTACGTGCGCGTGTCGCGCTCAACATATGCAACCGAAACACCGCCAGACACGCGGAGGGACACGTGTGTGTGGCTGGTCAGGCTGCGAGTGCAGGTGGCGGTGGCGGCGTAGCCAACGGTGCGGGCCCCGGCTCATCGTCTGCTGGTGGCATGTCGAGTGCGGCGGGGGGAGGGGGCGGGGG